TCTAACCATCTGAAGCTGGGAGTTTAGCAGACATGTTGGAAGGTTGGATTAATAAAATATTTAAATAAAAAAAGTTTTGAAAACTCTACTCAACCAACACCTCTACTCTTCAATTTTTATTTTCGGCTGATTTTCTTGCTTGCAAAAGTAATGCATGGCTGAACCTCTTATTTTATACAAATTCCCAAACAAGGACTCTTGTCATTCATCGATGTAGAATATATATATACAATGAATACAACTGATTTTAAGGAAAGAATGGAAGGGAAGATACAACATATCAGCAATATAATTTGCATAATGATTTTATTCCATAACATAACTCCTTATATTGCGTCTATGGTGTTGCCATGATTTTTGGGATTATTATCCTTAACACGCCCCTTCAAGTTGGAGGGGTAACACGCGTGGACTCCCAGCTTGTCCTGGAAGAAGATAAATGCTTGCTTGGAAAGAGGTTTAGTGAAGATATCCGCAGGTTGGTTCGAAGAAGGGATGTATCGAGTGACAAGAGTACCCATGGCCACCTTTTCCCGAACAAAATGATAATAAAGTTCAATATGCTTAGATCGAGCATGGAAAGTTGGATTTACAGACATATAAAGAGTGCTGATATTGTCACAAAATAGTTGAGGAGGCTGGGGAAGAGGGATACCAATATCTCGAAGGAGAAAGGTTAGCTATGTTATTTCCGCAGTCGTGGAAGCCATGGATCGATATTCGGCTTCAGAACTGGAACGAGCAACTGTAGGTTGCTTCTTTGAACACCACGATATGCAAGTTGCACCTAAGAAAATGCAAAAACCAGTAGTACTTCTCCTTGTAACTGGGCAACCGGCCCAATCTGCATCAGTAAACCCGTATAGAGATAGAGGGCTTTGAGCAAGGTAGGATAATCTAAAATGTGAAGTTCCCTTTAAATACCTAAGTATTCGTTTCACTGCCTTCAAATGAATTTGTGTCGGAGCATTGAAGAACTGACATACATAATTTATGGAATAAATAATGTCAGGGCGAGTGAAGGTCTGATATTGGAGGGCACCAACAATGCTTCGAAATTCAATTGGATCAACCAGATTCATGTCTGAATCTGATGGTTTTTCCTTTTGAACCATTGGTGTAGATATGGGAGTGCTTTCAATCATTTTTGTACGAGTAAGAAGGTCTTGAATATACTTTGTTAGGGACAAATGAACTCCACCAGCAAAATATTTTATTTCTACTCCAAGAAAATATCGATGTGAGCCAAGATCCTTAATGGCAAACTCGTTACCGAGGTGATTGATCAGGTTGGTAATAAAAGAACCATTATTACCAACAACGAGAATATCATCGACATAAATAAGGAGAATAGCAGTAATAGTGTTGGTGCGATAGATGAAAAGTGACGAATCTGCCTTGCTACAGTAAAAACCAAGGTGAAGGAGAAATTGGGAGAGTCGATCAAACCAAGCACGCGCCGCTTGCCTAAGACCATATAAGGATCTGTTAAGAAGACATACATGATCAGGATAGCTATGATTGATGAATCCCGGGGGCTGCTCCATGTAAACAGTTTCCCTTAAGTGGCCATGCAGGAAAGCGTTCTTAACGTCTAATTGACGCATATGCCACTTCAGCGAAGTCAATAGAGCTATAACCAAACGAATTGTTGCCGACTTCACAACTGGACTGAAAGTCTCATCATAATCAAGGCCGGAAACTTGGGTGAAACCTCGTGCAACTAATCGAGCCTTGAAGCGCTCAATGTTGCCATCCTCTTTGTACTTAATACGATAGACCCATTTTGAACTAACAACATTTGTCTCTGGAGGACGAGGCACAAGTGTCCAGGTCTGATTTTCTTGAAGAGCTTGAAGTTCTTCTTTCATAGTACGTACCGAATGAGCAACCTTTAATGTTGTCTTCAGAGTTTTGGGTTCAAAAGGAGAAGTAGTTGTTGCAAGTGCATAATCTTTCAAGTGTGCAGCTACTTGTCGAATTCTTGCAGGTCACTGACTATGGATGATCGAATTTTCTTCTAATGTGATTGGTTCCATAGCTTGTTCCTCCAATGATTGATGAACATTGTTGATATCTTTGTCAGTGGAATTTCCACCGAAAGTTCCTCCGGAGGGTTCGCCAGAAGTTTCGCGACAAGTATTTCCAATGATACATTCCACTTGTAATGGCATAATGCCACGAGCTATTTCTCCATGATTTGTGGGATTATTATCCTCATTGGTAGGTTCATTCTGCTCCGGTAGAACAATATTTGAAGACACGCATGCATTACAATTTTTATCACAAGATTGAAATGATTCATCAAACGAATTGGAAATAGAGAAATTTCCGCCTTTTAAATCACTTGATTCATCAAACAAGGGAACTCAGAGAAGGACAATTCGGTAGATGTTGGTGCAGAGGTGGTTGAGATCTTATATGGAAAAACTCCTTCGTCGAAAACCGCATGTCTTGAAATATAAACTCTTTTTGTTCTAGGCTCCAAGCACCGATAGCCTTTATGCATAGGGCTATAACCGATGAAGACACAGGGATATGTCTTTTTCAAGAACTTATTTCCGCCTTGGTATCTCAAAGAAGGAAAACATTTGCAGCCAATAACTCGCAAACCTCTGTAGTCATGATGTCGCTTATGAAGTTTATGATACGGAGTATCATTATGCAATACCGAAGATGGTAATCAGTTTATAAGATACACTGCGGAGAGAAAAACATCAACGCAAAGCGTCAAAGGAAAATTAGCGTGAAATAACATAGTTAAGCTTGTCTCGACAATGTGTCGGTGTTTACGTTCTGCAACTCCATTTTGCTCCGGAGTTCCTGGACAAGAGATATGTAGTTCAATTCCGTGATTTTCGATATGAGTATCAAAATCATGTGAATTAAATTCACCCCCACCATCACACGGGAATATCTTAAGTCGATGATCAAATTTGTTTTCCACAAGCCTTTGAAAGTTCTTAAAGCAGCCAAATTTGTTTTTAGATTTTCTCCGTAAAGGATATAGCCATGTAAACCTGGAGAAATCATCAACAAATATTGCATAAAAGCGAAATTTCTGATTCGATGTCAGTGGAGCAGGTCCCCAAAGATCACAGTGAATTTTCTCAAGTCGAAAATCAGAAATTTTATTTGATAAATGAAAAGGCAACTTACAACTCTTACCTATCTGACAACTAACACATACATATTGTTTTGAAACCCATAATGAAAGATCAATAACTTTCTTTTCCTTTAACAAATATAAAATCTTCAAGTTCGGATGTCCAAGTCTTTGAGGCTACAAAAGTGAAGTTGGTACGCCTTTTCTTATTACAGGGAGAGCCTCATGAGAAATAAGTTCTTTATCAAATCAGGCACAACACAACAAGCACATCTTTTAAGTTCAAATATCCTTCTTGTGTATTAATATTGATTTCACCTGTATGAGATATTGGTAAACTATTGCCATCCCCAACATAAATAATATCTCTTCCATTATATGGTTTAATGGGGGAGAGTTTACCTGGATCATTGATCATGTGTGATGTTGCGCCAGAATCCACATAAAAAGATGAATCATGTGAATTATTCATGTTAAGAGCTGCAAGAGCTTGAGGAAGATCTCCCGCTTGATAAGAGTAATCAAACCTGTACCAGCAATCAAGGGCGAAATGATTATCTCGGCCACATATTTGACAAGTTGTCTTGCCAATGTCATCAGAAGCACGAGCTGTCGTGTGTGATTGTCATGTCGTTGAGAAGGAGTCCCCTTCCAACCATTGTTATTTTCTTGATTACCATTGCGGTTATTGTTTTGGTGACTAGAGAAAGTGCTTCCATTATACCTCCTTGCAAGAGTAAATCCTCTGCCTCGAGATGTAAAGTTTCCATGACCTCCTCTATTATTTCTTCCACGACCCCGTTGGCCGAAGAAGGCTTGCGCTTACTCCAAAAGTGTATTTTCTTCAGATTTTCTTGCAAGTTGAGACTGCTCGAAACCTTGAAGAGACAAAACGAATTGGGAGAATGAACGATAAGGAGGCTTTGTAAGCATTGCGATTCGAAAATTATTGTAATTTGGACCCAAGCCACAGGCAAATTGAAAAACTTTGTCAAGATCTGAGACTGGTTGCTTGATTGCAGCAAGATTATCGCAAATTGATTTGAACTCTCTCAAACACTCATCGAGATGTCGAGATCCCTCATGGATAGACATTAATATATTCTTCAAGTGGCCTTATTTCTCTATTGTGATCGGAAGAAGTTGTTCTTCCAATGAAGACCAGACTTGATACGCTGTTTCTGCCGCGAAAATGGAACTCATGATGTCTTCTTTCATGGTTCCAAGTAACCAGCAATTAAGAAGACCGTCATTGGTTGTCCATGAATCGTAAGAAGGATTTGGAATTTTGCTGCCCTTTTCATCCTCTATTTCTTCTGCGGGTTTATCATTTGTAACAAGATGATGATAAATGCCCAAACTGCGAATTAGAGGAATGATTTGAGAACGCCATAACAAAAAAATGGTTGTGTTTAGTTTGATAGATATCAAACTAGAACACTGGTGAAAAGCTTGGATTGTAAGTTGAGGCTCTTTTATTGAAATGGTAGTTGACATGATTCCCAGGCTTGGGGATGAAGTCTCTGGTACCATGAAGATTTTGAATAAGGAGAGAAGGTGATGATATGTCATTCATCGATGTAGAATATATATATACAATGAATACTGTTAAGAAAAATAATATTTCCCATGATTCTGAAACAAATCACAGCAATCAAAGATTGTTATCCTCCCATAATTATGGGCAGATGGAAGAAGAATGAAGAAATCAATGGCAGCTAAAATGCTATTAACACAGCCGTAATTTTAGACTTTTACTATATATGTATATTATAATATCTTTAGATAGTTGAATATCTTGTATATAAATAGTGGTTGTATCTCTCGTGAAATAATGAAGAAAGAGGAATCGTAATCATCTTCATCACTTATATGCTATTCTCCAAAACTTCTCATGGTATCATCGAGCCAAACCGCAAGCCCTGAAATCATGTCTTCCGCAACAAACACCAATGAACCTCAGCTTACCATCCAATCATTCCACCAATATTCCAGTCTTATTTCAATAAAACTAAGTACCACTAATTATCTTATGTGGCGTTCTCAAATCACGCCTTTAGTTCGCAGTTTAGGTGTATTTCATCATCTCGAAAGTGAGGAAATTCCAACTGAAGAAATAAAAAACGACGAAGGAAAGACGAGCCCAAATCCAGTTTATGCAGCATGGATCGTCAATGATGGCCTGCTTCTTTCATGGCTTTGTGGAACCATGAATGAAGAGATGTTATCATCAATCTTTGATGCAGGAACGGTTCGTCAACTTTGGAAATCGCTTGAAGAACAACTTCTCCCGATTACGATCGAGAAAGAAGGAAACATGAAAAACATGTTCATGACCATCAAAAAGGGCTCACGATCCCTAAATGAGTACCTAAAAGAATTTAAGTGGATATGCGACAATCTTACTGCTATCAAAAAGCCAGTAAGTGATCTTGATAAAGCTTTCAGATTTGCATATGGCCTTGGACCCAAATATGAAAATTTTCGGCTAGTTATGTTGACAAAGCCTCCGTATCCAGCATTTAGCCAATTTTTATTGGCACTTCAAGGGCATGAACAATCCTTAGAGGCATTACGAGATGAAGAAAAAAAAATTTATCGAACATGAACAAGACTTCTACAGTCACCGTGAACGTCGGGGGAAGCCGTGGAGGACGATTCAATTCGAGGGGTCGAGGATTTACTCCTGCCGGATGCTACAACACTCAGATCGAGAGGCAAAAATTTTACGTGAATCGTCCACAATCTAATTACAACAGCCGCAATGGTCAAATGAAAGATGGAGATGTGGAACCGACACACCACATCTCTCGTACTTCAAACAAAAACGAGAAAATTATTTGTCAGATTCGCCAAAAACCGAATCACGAAGCTATTGATTGTTGGCACAGATTTGATTACTCGTATCAAACTACAGACCTGGCTCAAGCTCTCGCAGCCATGAACATCAGTTATAACCAATCATTTTATATCGACTCGGGCGCTACCTCTCACATGACAAATGATGCAAGTAAACTTTCTTCTCCAAAACCTTACTTGGGTCAAGATGTTATTTACGTTGGAAATGGTGAGTGTTTGCCTATTTCTCACACTGGTAATGCATATATTAATATAGAAGAAGGAAAATTGAAGTTAAAAGATGTTCTTGTAGTTCCTGATTTGAAAAAGAATTTATTATCTGTGGGAAAATTTACTTCTGATAATATTTGTACTTTTGAGTTCTCGACTAATGACTTTGTTGTTAAGGATCGTCAGCAAAGGATAATAGCAAGAGGGCATAAAAGAGGACATCTCTATGCTTTAGATGATATCTCTCAACAGGCTCTAAGTGCAATAAGAAAAGGCGGTTCTTCTTCAACATTATGGCATCAACGACTCGGACATCCAAATTCAAAGATCCTTTTCATCTTGAAGGAAAAGAAAATTATTAATATTACAGATTGGGTGATTAAATCATCTATATGTACTAGTTGTCAAATGGGAAAAAGTTGCAAATTGCCTTTTCAACTATCAAATAAAATCTCAATAAATCCTCTTGAAAAGATACATTGTGATCTTTGGGGTTCCGGCACCTTTACATTCAAATCAAGGTTGTCGATTTTATGTTATTTTTGTCGATGATTATTCAAGATTCACATGGTTTTACCCTTTAAAACGAAAATCTGATTTTTTTGATTGTTTTTCAAAATTTCAAAAATTAGTGGAAAACAAATTTCATAGACGGATTAAGATTTTTCAATGTGATGGTGGAGGAGAATTCAATTCAAAGATTTTTCATGATCATACTCAAAATAGTGCTAGCGGGCTCTATCGGGTACTAGCGATCTCTCTTGGTTATGCGGGGCGGAGACTTGCTCTCTAAAAGGAAGGTACCTTACGTGGGGGGCTTCTGACAACCACTTTATAGTGCAAATGTGTCCAGATAAATTACGAACGTATTTTATAAAGAAGTCTTCCAACATTTGAGCTAAATAAGTTATTTATACTTGGAAAAAATTATATACGAGATCGAAGAAAAGTGTAACCTTATTCTCTAAGGAAAATGATGAGTAAAATAGTGAAAATCATGAAGGTGAAAAGAGTGAGTAGGTGCTGGTTCATGCAGTTCACTATTATTCATAAAATGATTCCAATTTCATAAAAAAGAATGTGCAGGCGAAGCCTCTGTTTCTGATGTGCATTCAATCATTTATAAGTTTGATGCAAATATTGTACTATCGTAATCACGCAATAAATATATATATATATATATATATATATATATATATATATATATATATATATATATATATATATATATATCATGAAAATATAAAGTTGTGTTTGATACACACAACAAAATCGTCTAATCCAACTTTTTAATAGGTAACTAATTAAGATACTTGCGCAACAGCTTTGACGTTGATTTCTATATTTAGAAGACAACAATCTTTGACAATGAATCCTTTGTTAGGATCATTAATAGTTGCAAGATCAATGTGTACAGGCCTTTCCCAACTACTGCTCGAAGCTGAAAACCAGTAACTAAAAACTGCGGAAAAAAAAAGAAAAAAAAAAACCAAGGAAAAAGAATTAGTTTTTGGTTTCGCTTTCCGTTTTGAAACATCAAACATTTTAAATGAAATGTTGTAAGTACTTACAATATCGTCTAGTTTGTTTATCATCAAACTGGTTTGTCATGCATACGGTAAAACATGTCTGCACTCTTTCGGTACCAAGTTAGTACAAAGAGATGCTAACATGGCTGCCAATTCCTTCTGCATTTCATTTTGGGTAAAGAAGGATTTTCCTACGTTTACATATATTAAAATATTTAAACACAAAAAAAAAAAAAAAGGTAATAGTTGTGACAAACAAAAAAATTGTACCATTTTTGGCCTCTAGCATCAAATTCTTCAAACACCCATCTTTGGGGCAATTGGGAGAAACCCAAAATCTCCAAAGCATGATTGT